GACGCGCGGCGTTCAGGCTTGCGCGAGATGACGCAATCTCCCTCCCACTATTTTCTCTCTCTCACTCTCTTCTCACCCTTTTTACCCCGGGCCACTCATTCCGTAGCTCAGCTGCGCTCCCCACTTGGGCGCTCCCTTCCGCAGGCGCAGGTCTTCCGCCGCGCACCTCGTCCCGCGTCCGGCGCCCACAAGTTCAATGCCAAGGTCAAAGCGGCCACGACTCGCAACCATGTCGGTCGTGAGTGCGCGCGATATTCGTTCGTTCCCGTCGGCTCGCTCGCGCTTGTTCCGTGTGCGCGCTTCTCGTCTCTTCCTCGACGACAGCGAGAGTAAAAGACATCGCGCTCCGCTTTCCTCTCATCGTCCCGCTGCCGTCATGCCGTCGCCACTCGTCGATGCGATGTCGCCTATGTGTTGCTTTCGCAAACTAGGTTCGTGCGCGCTACATTCAAGTGCCCGTCGACGAATTTCGCAGGTGCAAATTACGCTCGTATGTGCGTCAGATGTCCGTCGTCGAGACGACGACGAATGAGCAGACATTTTGAATATGCGACATCCGCGTATGTCCATCGTAAGTGTCGTTCGTTTCGAGGAAATTGTCGCGTAGATTGGACGCGAATATTTCGACGGAGCACTCCGTCTCTTTGTAAAAACAATGCCGATGACAATGACAACGACAACGACGACGACGACGACGACGACGAAGAGACAGACGCGTGGGCGTCGACAAGGAGGGATGGAGAATACGTAGTGCGCGCTGCCGATCGAGAACGTCGATTTGTGTGATCTCGTGAATCTCCGCTCCGCGGAAGGGAGCGGGAAGGTCGGCAAGGTCGTACGCGCGGCGTGGCGCAGCGCGGTGCGACGCACAGAAAGAACGGAAGAAGGAGCGGAATACCACGGAATACCCGCGGACGCGGAGGCAGGCAGTAGCGCGCGGCGCGAGATTCGCGTCACGGGCCAAGATGGCGGCGGATTTCGGACAGGATCCGGACGGACGCTGCGTCGCGCCGCGCCGCGTCGCGTCGCGTCGAGGTAAGCCGCATCGTTGTGTTGGATATATCCATATGTAGTATATCGCCGCCGCTGTCGACCGCGCGCTGTCACGCGTTATCGATTTCGTGGGAGGTCCTTTCTACGCCAGAATCGCAGCGGCTCTCTCAAGGTCACTCTCGTGAATCGCGCCTGATCTTTTGGGGCTCATCCTCTCTTTCCGGTTCCGCATTTACCGATCCTTTATTGGTTCAACTAGTATTGGAATGTAATCGATATTGCGTATCGTCACGTCACTCTGGAGTATTACACGCATATACACGTATATCGCGTTCTCTCTCTCTTCTCTCGATAATACTAGTTTTATAATTTATTTTACAATCATATCTTCCTTTGAATTAGAACCATCTTATTACCTAGACGATGAAAATATCGTTTTCAAATATGCCTTTTTTATTTCTCGTAAATAGAAATAATCCAATTACTCGTCATGCATCTTGGAAAAGTTTACGTTTTACATCGAGAGACAAATCATTCATCGGACATGGCGTTTTGGTTGAATGAGGGTTAATTTAAGCACGAGAGATATTACCGCGCAACGCTCGACCGGATGATCTATAGTAGCCGTCGCTGTTACGATGTGACACCATTATGATGTAAGCTCGTACCTACGCTTCGTGGAGAGCGGTGAGATCAATTGACCGGTTTTCCCGGACTCATTCACGCTGATAACCACATTGCCATTAGCCTTTCATTTATTACGTGCAAAAAAAGCTTTTATATATTACTTGTGAAAATATTCTATTTCGATATATTATTTTTTTTTCTTATATGTACTTGTATTGTTTAGCGTTAAACAAGAACGATGGTAAATGGTAAAAAAATATAAGACTATTTTTATTTAAAAAATAAATGAAAATAGAGATAAATAAGATATAAGCGAAAAACTTTGAGTCTAAAATGTGTGTGTTGCTTGTTGTAAATGAGTAATCTTTTCTTGCTGCGCGCGGAGACGACGGCAGCGTAGCAACGGC